CAGCCCGGTTACGGCGGGTGTGGGCCCCACACCCTCTGGCTGCCAGTGTGGTGAGCACCCCACGGCGCCCTCTTCCCCTGTCCGGCACCGGCCCTGCCCTGGGAGCTCAGGCTGAGGTCTCAGCTGCCAGTCGCCTCCCACCCCATCCGTCTTGTGCATGAACACTGCTACCGAGCACAGGGGGAGGGGGATGGGAAAGGGAGAGGGGATGGACAGCTGTCCTTCTGGCAGGCCGCCTGTGCCCCTGCCCTTGTTTGGGTCACCCTGTGCCCCTGGCCTGCATCCCTGCCCATGCCCAGCTCTGCCCCTCTGGTCCGTGTGCTCCCTTCAAGTCCTGGTCTCCCCACGGCACAGGGTGCTCCCCTCCCCCGTGGCCTCTGCACCCCTCCCTCACCCTGCAGCCCCATGCTGCCACTCACAGGGCACTGCAGGCCTGCGTGGGCAGCCACACCCCCACGGCTCCTCCTACAGAGCTACAAGCTCCCCGCGGACGTTTGTCCTGCCCACACCTCTGCCCAGCCCCAGCCAGCACTGCAGGCCCAGGTAAACGTGCCCTCGGTGTGCTCCTGGCCCCTCAACCCCAATGCAGCACAACCGAAGGAGGTGGGAGGTCTGTGGACTGTCACTACGGGGGACCGCATGAAATGTCCCCACGGGAGCACGCACCCACTGTCTTCAGAAGCATCCCCCTGGAACCCATCAGGGAACCAGACTCTTTCATCCACCTCAGCACAGAATGCCCTTGGGTGGGAGAGGGGCACTTGGTCAAAGGGGTCCCAGGACAGTCTACAGGAGCCTAGTCTGGGAAGACATGCTGAACCCCTGCAAGGCTGGCATGCACTCCCGTTCTCCTCCCTCCAGTGCAGCTCTGAGTGGGTGGGTATGGCCCTGCTGCACGGGCCTAGAGATGGGCTTTGCAGCTGTGGCAGATGAGGAGGTCTGGAGTGATGCGGTCTTCACCAGGCTGTGCCGGGCTCTGAGTGCCAGGGGCGGGGGGAAGGCTTCCCAGGGAGCTGACATGGAGCAGGGCCACTCCGAGAGGGTGCCACATGAGGGTCAGGGCTGGTGTGTGAGGGGAGCTGGAGGCTCTCTGGAGTGTGAGCAGTGGGGCACTGAGGAAGGCCTGGCAAGGGCCCCACTGGACAAGGGATCTGGGGCCACATCCTATGGAGACAGAAGCCTGGAGTGTTAGTAGGAATGGGGGTCGCTCGGATTTGCTTGTCGATGGCTCTTTCTGGGTGCCATTGGGGGACATGCGGGAGGCGGTGGGAGTGCAGCTGCAGACGGGTGGGTGCGAGGGTGGAGGCTGCAGCAGTGGCCAGGGCGTGAGGCCTGGACTGGGCAGCGGTGTAGAGGGGAGGGAGAGGACAGTTCTGGGTGTTGTCTGGAAGTGCCTGGGAGTTGCTCAGTCCCCACCCTCCTGTCCAACAGGGAAATGCAAGCCCCAGGTCCCTGCAGTTGGCAGTGTGAGGATGCCTGCACGGGGCCGCATCCCGCATCCCTCGTAAACTCACAGCCTGAGCCCAGCAGGGAACAGGCTGACCCTGCCACACGCCTCCCAGCAGCCGCACATGTGCCACGTGGCCGGGACAGAGGCCTGACAGCAAACCCACCTCCCACGGCTTCACCGTGACCCCTGTTCTGAGGCCCCCGGGGACCCCAGGTTCCTGCCGCCCTGGCTCAAGTCAGCCCCACATGTGGCCTCCTTCCTGGGGGTCCCAGCCAGAGGGAGATTCCCTTGGATTCTGCACAGGAAAGGGCCAATACAGACCGATTCCCTGTGGGCAGTGACATCTGGAAAAGAGATGAGCAGAAACGAGCCCTTTAATGTGGGAAACACCTGGCGCCTGCCGTCCTAGCTAAGGAGCAGAAAGGGCTGGGCGGCTGGAATCCCAGCGGCCCCAGGGAGGGGGGCGGCCGGGCCGCGCAGCGCTGGGGCTTCTGGAGAAGACGCCGCCACTCCCCCGTACTCCGGGGTGCCCGCTCCCCGGTGCCAACCACAGAAAAACCTCATTCTCAGCTGTATTTGGAGACCAGGTCTGAGATGTGACCAGGCCACAAATACCCTGAAAGAAGTGAGAGTGTCTGTCCGTGGGCTGTGGCCTGGGACGGTGAGAACAGCCTCCGGGGCTGATGCAGGCCCGCGGTAACATGCTGGAGCCACGGTAAGATGGCGGGTTCGGTTTCCCAGTCAGCCTGTGCACACTGGGCATGCGTGTTCATGGCTCTGTTCAGGGCCCTCGTCTTTCCCTCTGGCCCTCATTCTCATGGATGAGATAAACTATAAACAAGAATAGGTTTTAGGGGCCAATCTGAGCTCAGAGCAGCTCAGCCTCTTACTGGCTTTGTGGCCTTGGGCATCGGTAGGCCCTCTCTAGGCCTTAGCTTTCCCAGTCTGAAAAATGAGAATAGTGAGGGACCAGCAGCTGGTGTAATGGCTATGTCACTGGACTCCCTTGTAGTCAACCATGATTCGAGTCCCAGACCTGGTAGCTTAAAACTCATGCCAGGCACATGTGCGTGCATGCCCAAAATTCTAAGAGGAGAATGGAGAAGGAATTGCGGTGTGGCCATCCCCCCGGGGGGTGAATTCTCGCTTTCTGTCTTTCCAGCGAGGCACAGGCCCTATTGCAAGTCTCTAAAAAAGAAAAAAAAAAAAAAAGGGAACAGTAATAGGTCCTCAAGGGACAGCCATGCAATTGTGCAGTGGATGATGAGTGGATGATGGACGGTGGCTGACAGGAGCCAATCCTAGATGCACACCAGTACCCCCCCCTTTTTTTCAGAGCACATACACTCACTGGAGGGAGACAGGGAGAGAGACAAAGAAAATGAAAGTGAGAAATCAGCCCCCCAGGGGTATGACCATGCCACAATCCCTTTGCCTCTGTTTTCCTCTCAGGATTTTGGGCACACATGCACACGCACCAGGTGTGTTTTTCAAGCCTTGCGTCTGGGATCTGAACCAGGAAGTCGGCCATGTGGGATCCAGCACCTTAGCCTCCCACCAGCGCTCAGCTGCCGTTCCCGTCTGCCCCGTCACCATGCTGTGGTGTGGCCATCCTCCCGAGGGGTGATTTCTCACTTTCTCTCATTGTCACTGTCTCTGTCTCTCTCCCTGACAAAGGCACACACTCTATGAGAAAACCTCTAAAAGTATTTTTTCTTTCTTTCAAGAGGTTTCCGCTATAGGGCGTGTACGCTTGCCAGAGACAGAGACAGAAAGCGAGAAATCACCCCCCAGGGGGGATGGCCACGCCGCAATCCCTTCTCCTCCATTCTCCTCTTGGGATCTTGGGCATGCCCGCACATGCACCTGTCGTGAGTTTTAAGCCACCGCGTCCAGGACGCGAACCACGGTCAACTATGTGGGAGTCCAGCAACATAGCCATTACGCTAACTGCTGGTCCCTAAAAGTAATTTTTTTAAAAAGGGATGCTGTCTGTTCATTTGCTAATGACAGGAAATACCCAGACCTGGATGCTGGATAAGACTAGAACCTGATAAGAATTCAGCCCTAGGTGTGTCGTGCAGGGGCCACATCTGTGAGGGTGTCCTTGCTGGGGTATGACCTGGTGGGGGGCCTCGTGTGTGCACAGGAAAAGAGCCTGAGTATGTGTCTGGTTCGTGCTCTTTTTTTTTTTTTTTTTTTAAAGAGAGATTTTTGCTATAGGGCGTGTGCACTCACTAGAGAGACAGAGAGACAGAAAGTGAGAATCCCTTCTCCTCCATTCTCCTCTTGGGATCTTGGGCATGCCCGCACATGCACCTGGCGTGAGTTTTAAGCCACCGGTTCTGGGACTTGAACTGCAGTTGACTACATGGGAGTCCAACAAAGTAACCATTATGTCATCTGCTGGTCCCTCGTCTCTGTTCTTTATACACCCACCAGGCTTCCTTCATGAGGGGCCCACCCTGACGACCTCGCCCCTAGTCTCCTCCCAAAGGCCTCTTTTTTCTGTTTGTTTTAAGAGAGATGTTAAAAACAGGGTGCATGCGTCTGCTGGAGAGACAGAGAGCAAGAAGTCGCCCCCAGAGGGAGATTCACACCACAGTCCCTTCTTCCTCTCTCAGGATCTTGGGCACACACACACACATTCGCGGGCATGAGTCTTAAGCCACCAGACCTAGGGCTTGCATCATGGTCAACGATGTGGGAGTCCTGTCACGTAATCGTAATGCCATCTGCTGGTCCCCTAA